AATTGTTGTTCAGAATCGTCTCAGCTACCCCCCATTTCCGGCTCCTCTCCGACTTTTGGGACACCCTGTATATATAGCAGACTGGCGCGTCAGCAATTATTTCTACTGCAAACTGTTCAAGAAAATTGTATTGTATTTTACGTTACTGCTACAAAAAATTCATAATTAATGAAGAATTTCTTATCAAGTTGCGTCTTATCGGGCTTGATTCGAAGGTCTATAAAAAGAATGATCCATATGTTGCGTTTGAATTTTGCAATTAGAAGTGAGCAAACTTCATTTTCAATTTTAATCCTTGCAATACAGTACAAAACTATTAATAAAAATACGTATTAACACAATTATTGAATTTTTCGTTCGCTGGGTAATCGTTTTACCCAAACATCAAGTAATGAGAAATTTCCTAATATTATATAATAAAGAAAATTAATTAATTGAGTCCCTTATATTTTATCATATCTATTTTATGTATTGCTTCAATAAACAATTTTTTAGAAAATTATTTTAGAATACATTTGAAACAATTATAACTGTAAGGTGTATCCAAAATGATTTCGTGGGAAGGTGAAGTTTGAGAAATACTGTTATATTCCCCTGAAATGGCAGATATTCATGTAACACCTTTGAGTATATAGAAATGGAGGAGGAATTGCTTTGTTCTGTATAGACTATAGACCGAAAGTGTGTTCAAAGTCTGTGCGAGAGGGAAAGGTATAGAGCGATATTCGTCCTCTCTGCGCATCCGTCAACATCGTACCTGCACTGACCTGATTGTACATTGTACCTGATTGTACTAGACAGGACCAGATTGTACGCAATTGTACGTACAAATGTGCATGTCAGAGTGATATCAGTAATATTTCGATCTAAATTTGCACATTTGAACAAAAGTTTGTTAATCCTAAACCTTGAAGGAGTGCTAAGATAAATACGTAAGCATAACAAAAAATAAGTAAGGGATACGTCCGTTCGACGGATTTTACACTGAAGTAAGGTTAAGTTGTTTATCAAAGATGGCTTTTCACTTTCACTTCGGGCTGAACATGTTTCCGGAGGTTCCACGTCCTTTCAACACTCAATATAAATGCTTTCCTGTGTCGATGTTACCGGGTACATATCGACAAGATGTAGAACGGGGTGGAAAAAGTCAGTACATATATATATGTTTTCTTGTAATTTTACCTATCAAATAACAAAGAGATAACGTTATTTATTTGTTCCAGTAATTATGCCACCTTCAGCATTGGAACAGCTTACAAGATTGAATATTAATTACCCAATGTTGTTCAAATTAACTAATAAGAAGACCAATAGAATAACTCACTGCGGTGTTTTGGAATTTGTTGCGGATGAAGGAAAAGTTTATTTACCTCTTTGGGTAAATAATGATTATGAGTATATTATTATACATTGAAAAGTATCATTACCTTTATATGAAACAATTATTTTGAGTGCTTTTTTTGATATAAGGAAATCATTGTTTGGGGAGTTATGCTATACATATATATTCGTCGTGATGTGATTGCAGATGATGCACAACCTTTTATTGGCAGAGGCAGAACTAATAAATGTTGAAAGTGTTTCTTTGCCAATTGCAAAGTTTTCACGCTTTCAACCACAATCTGAAGATTTTCTAGATATTACAAATCCTAAAGCTGTTTTAGAAAATGGATTGAGAAGTTTTGCTTGTCTTACAACGGGTGATGTTATAGCCATAAAGTACAATCAAAGAATATATGAAATGTGTGTTCTTGAAACAAAACCTGAACCAGCAGTTAGCATTATAGAGTGTGATATGAATGTTGAATTTGCTCCACCAGTGGGTTATGTAGAACCGGAGAAAGCAATTAAAAAAGATGAAAATGCAGTAGATCTTGCAGATTTAATGCCAGCGCCAGCTGGCTTTGTACCATTCAAAGGACAGGGTACCAGATTGGATGGCAAGAAACGTAAAGATTCTGTTCAATCCGAAATGGCTGCTAATAAACCAACATATATTAGGGGAATACCAGATTATGATTATAAAATAGGAACTCTAACATTTTTACGCAGCATTAAACCTGTTAACAATAAGGAGGTATGACACAAATTACTATCAATACATCACATATTATACTCCAATTTTGACGAATTTTTGTGTAGATAAATTGCTAATAACTTATGTGATGTCATTTAAACTTTGTATACAGTAACGAGTACATACGATCTTTAATATTGAACATTTCACAAGCCACTAATTGCCTGTACAAAGAGATGAACATAGGTCAAGTGTTTTTTGGTTTTCCATCCATTTATAAAAATTCATTAAAATCAGAGCACCATGTATCATGTGATCTTTTCTTATATATTTTTATGCTTATATATTATTCGAGTTTTACGTGAAAATTCTGTTGTAGGTAAAGGACCAAGATGAATTTAAAGCTTTCACCGGTGAAGGTTTCTCTCTTAGAAAATCTAGAACATGATTGAATGATTGTCAGTCTATTTATTTTCTTATAATTACATATATTTGTAAAAGTGAGTATTTGTATTTCTTATTAAAATGTTGTACTTTTTAATATAAAAGTGTTATGGGAGTTCCTAAACCATTAAAATACTTGGAAACATTTTCTTATAAAATATTTTTTTTTTATTCGTATATAAGACTTTCTCGAAATATTTTTTTTTCTTAATTCTAAAATGAATACAAAAAAATGTACATACTACATTCAACACGTTCATTGCGAGTATCGTATAGAGATTGTACCTTTGCTTTGAGTAAGCCATATTTCAACTTTCATTACATCTAAGGCGATATTTGCGTCCGAAGTTTAGACTCCGTCAATAAAAAACTTTATGGGTCACGTATTCCAATATTGCCAAATATGAGCGTCAAGTATAAAGTGTAACTGGAAGGCGTACAGCAGTGTTCTCGAAAATGGAGGACGCAACCCCTAGGAAGTGCGCGGGGCATTTTATAATCCAAGAGTGATGATTATGAAAATTTACAACATAGCAAAATAGGAATAATTTAAACATTATTTTCTATTAATGCATTGATTATGTAAATTTCGTAACTATAGAAGTATATTCTTTTATGACTGAGCCTATCGTTTATCTGGGGGATAGAAATTTTTTTTTTTTTTAGGGGGACACCTTAAAAAAAATTGAGAACCGCTGGTCTACAAATTCATTTGCAGAGTACCGTCAGATATGAAATGCAGTACTAAATGTAATTGATATGTCTAGAAGATGCATTTGTCCTGCATTCCCATATCTGAACATCTAATACATAACGTATGTGACCTGTAATGATAAATATTACAATCTGTGAAAAAAGCTTTCACAGTGAACATGTCAATGTTAACTAATCCTATACAAAGTGAAATCAGTAAGTTAACCATTTTACAAGATCCAAATGTATACACCATTGTAAAAATGGTTAACTGGCAGTATCTTAATATCACAAGTTGCAGGATAAACGAATTAACCGTTTAATCTACTAATGGACCCCAAAAGTGTTTACTAGGCCTTGTTGGATCTTCTGTCAAGAAAAAGTCTCGGCCCAGAGATACGAATTCTTCATAACTGATTTTCCCGTCATCATTTGTATCAATATGACTGAAGGAAACAACTGCATGCTGTAACAAATATTTTAAATGACTTGTTTAATTCAGTTTTGCGTTACATGCGACGATAGAGTACAGTTTTACTTACATCATGCGTAAGATTTAAGCATTGGAAGAACAACTTGAATTCTTCTACAGAAATTTCACCGCTTTGATCTTTATCCACTGCCTGCAAGTGTGTATTTGACATTATTTTTTAAAATAAGTATTCTCTAATAAAAATGATTTATATAAATAGATGCATTTTCAATACGTACTTTGAATAAGTAAGGTAAAAAGTGATGACATTTTTTCTTCAATGATGGGTCATTTAGAACATGATGCATCTCTTCCAGATATTTTTCAATACAAATAAGATTGTATGGACTAATTTCACCCCATTGTTCCTCCCACATATCCTAGATGAATATGTATATACATATGCATATAGTTATTCTATACATACTAGATATTTTATATTAACTATCTTTTCCAAAACTTTCTAAACAATGCAGTATATGTTTCTTTTTTATGTTATTTGTTTTCAAACTATTAAAACGTAAATTATTTATGTCATAAAATGGGAAAATGATATTTTAAACAGATGTTAAATATGATCTCTTGAAATTTTGCGCGTTATCGGGTTCAAGTTTGATATACTGGTTTTGAAAGGATCCTATGTAACTTCGAGTTATCAAATTATATATAAATATACTTACATTCAATACTTTTTTAAATTCAGCTTTGGCTTCCGGAGATAAATGTCCTAAGTCGGAAAATCGTTCTCCAAGTAGCATAAAATCATCATAACTGATAACCCCATCTTTATTAACATCTAAATGACTGTGCAAAGTTCGCATTTTGCGTCTCCAGAAATTTGATTGCCCCTAAAAAGATTTATGCATTTTTACTCAAATTTATGAGCATAAACATTCTACATCCGTTGTATTTATTTTTCTAAAATTGATTTTTTTCTATTTCGATTTCAACCAAAATTGACGTATTTTTTAATTTTTTGACCGAAAAAGTCATTGCAACATATTTCCAAAGTTAGTATTTCTTCTTTGTATGGTATGCGTGAAAACAATTATCAATGTAGGTCAGCGTCGATAATCATACAATAGCACGGAAAGTATAAAATGTATCATAAAATTTAAGAAAAGAAGTTGAACCATTTATACTGTTTTATACATTTATTTTAGGACAGATATATGAAAATCTTGTAAGGCGTCATCTAGATCCAAAAAATAAACCGGGATGACGCATATGTTCGTCCAAAGCTAATGTGATTGTATGCATTGGCTCTTATTTTCGTTCGAAACTTCCCAGGAACATCTCGTTAAAACTAACAACCACTGTGACATTCTCCGTACAAGACACCGAGTATCCAATTAAATAAGAGGGGAGCAGCAAGTATTGACTCGACACAAAACACGTTTTCAGATGTAAATGGAGACGGGCGCGAGACAATAAATTCTCATGCTCGAGAATCGTATACGGTTGCAATACGATGACGAAATCAAAATTTAATCATAATCGATTCGAATATACAGGATGTTCCATTTCTCGAGACGGCATTGTTTCCCATTGTACGAAAGAATATTGTTCATTTTCTGAGAGACATGAATAAAAGACGAGTATTATTGTAATTAGGAAAAATTTTAAAACGTGAATCATGGCTTGGCAAAACCATTAACAGATTTTCTTTAACACTTTCGTAATATCGTTGTAATTGACCAAAATAATGATTTAAATATAACAATATTTCTATACGTATATAAATTGAAATATTTATGGTACACACTATTGATGTGATTTGAGAATGCATGAATAAGTATTTAATGTTTTCTTTACTAGAAAAGGTAGAGGAAAAGTATATTAAATTTTTTCTTGTATAATTTAAATACTTTTAAGCCTTGAGAAGCAAACTTTGCTTGTCACAATATTTACTCCTTCGATATAATGTCTTCTCGAGATATTTTTCGAATAATTACAGTCATCATGATAAATTGGACACCCTGTATATACCATTATTTTAACTAAAGAAAAAAAGTAATTATTAGTAAAGTGTTCTAACGAAGTGTTGTAAAGAAATAATTTCATTATCTTAAATGTACATAAAATAATAAATGATCTTAAATTCGAATATAATTTCCTTGCCATTATTCTTCCAAACTTATACATCCAAGAAAATAGTTTTTAATTTATCTATATTAATAATAATTTTGGTTGTTAACGAACAAGTTGAGGAAAACACTTGTCCTAAATATACAATGCTTGGTTTTACTAGACAAACACGTGTCAAGGTATACTCAATATGTTTCGTATTATGAAATGTTCAAGTGTGTCCCGCTGATAAGACGACTGAATCATAGAAGAATGCAACAAACTATATTTATACTTCATCCCAAAACACACAATGGTTGGTTTCAATGTGTACCAGACATGTTTTGTATTATGAAATTTTTAAATGTAGTCGATAAGATATTTGAATGATAAAAGAATATAGTTTCATGTTTCTTGCGTAATTTGTCTAAAAGAAAATTTATTCCAGAAGACAGCATTTCTGTGCAAACCACTAGGAAAAAATATGGGACTGCTAATGTTTTGTTATTTTTTTTTTTACAAGGTGTACGGCAGCTTAGGTAAATGTATTATTGAAAAACGAACTTGTCTGTTTTTATTCGAACTTGGCTATGCTTTCTTTTATGTAAAATGAAAGCGGATGTTTGACGAGTTCAATGATATACGAAATAATAACGGTGAAGGTCATACAGGGTCAGACTACTAGGAAATCCGGTATTTCACTATGTAACAAGATTTTTGAAAACTTGCTATTTGTTATATCATGCTCCCAACACGTGTACCGTTATATAATATAAAAATCTGTCTTCCATTTATTAAATAAATCCTGCACATCGTCACCGTTATATTTCGAGGTTCCTTCGAAATATTCAAAATTAATTCAAGCAACCGTGATCCTTATAAAAAATCGAAAAATATTTTCCTCTTCAACTTTTTGTTTACGTTATTTGTTCATCAACATCGCTGGAGAATAATAATAATATTCCTCTTGTATGTGACAAATATGGGATATTTTTCAGTTCAAATATGATACTAGTCTTTATCAATGTTGTCATGCAAATAGACGAAATCCTACGAAAAATAGCCAATAACAACAAACTCTCGAGGAACGATAAGAAAGAAAAATATTTTCAATGTCTCTTACTCTTTCTTGTTCAATGTCCGAGTCGCTATCGCTCTCTTCCTCTTGGTTTACGGACGCCGAGACTCCCGTGTGATGTACACCTCTCTTACTATACAGTCGTCGAGTAATTTCACGGTACTGCAAATGAAACAAGTTTATATTTGCAGTGGATGAAATATTATTCGACAACTAACATTAGACTACGACGCATAATTGTAACGTCTCAAAGAAAGAAACCAGTTATATGTCAGGTCGCGTCAGTTTAATGAACTCTCCACCACAACAAGTTTATTTTACCGCGATAACTACTTCAATACTAGAAAAATGTTATCAAATGAGAAATATTCATTCATCTTTCTTATTTGATTAAACAATAGAAAATCCAAAGATGAAATACTTATAGGAACATTTAAAGGGTGACAAATTCTGTATGTAAACAGAAGTTACTGGGATTTTTCAAGGTCAAATAATTTTCGTTATTTATATGCTGGAACCAAAGAACAACGAAATTTAAAAGAAAATGGTAATGTTAAATGAAATCCTCGTACACGTGTAAATTACTGAATTATATTTGTATCTTTCAATATACAGGGTGTCCCAAAAATGTTGTAACACCTTGAAAGGGGTGGTTCGGGAGGTGATTTGAAACAACTTTTTCCTTAGCGAAAATGTTGACCGAGGCTTCGTTGAGGAGATATTAACGGAAAACACTGACCAATCAGAGCGCGCGTATACCGTTGGAGCGGCTGTGGTAGCGAAGGCTATGCGCTAGGCGGCCGCGCTTGTACGCGAACAAGTGACTCAACGTGCATCGAAAGACATTGACGCAGCCGCCTAGCGCATAGCCTTCGCTACCACGGCCGCTCCAACGGTATACACGCGCTCTGATTGGTCAGTGTTTTCCTTTAATATCTCTTTAACGAAGCCTCGGACAACATTTTCGATAAGGAAAAAGTTGTTTTAAATCACCTCCCGAACCACCTCTTTCAAGGTGTTACAACATTTTTGGGACAATTGTCACTATACGTTTATAAATCTAACATATCGACAACATAATGAATAAAATTTAGGAAATTCTGTAACAAAGTAAATTTATCATCACAGCATATGCGTATGTTAAACAAAGTTCAAATGCTTTTGTAGTTTATCTTTACAAAATATTAATCGTACAAATAAAAAAGTAAATATGAACGAGTCAAAATTGTGTGTAGTTTGCTGAAAGTACGTATATATATGTTATGAAAGCGGTACGTGTACAAATCTGGTTGTTATGCATGACCGATAGAAACCATTATTCCCGGTTCAAACAACCGTTATGCAAGTGTTATTTATTTTTACACGAAGAATTTAAACATCTACATCGTATAATTGAAAACACGAAACAAAGCTCCTTTCATTTTAGCATAAATTGCAAATAATTACAAAAACTAACCGACCCCCTGGTAATTAAATCATTAATGTTACAGTATTAACAATTTAAGAATCTTCGTGTACTACTTTTTATAATTTTCGATACAAGTAGGAAACTTTACCTGCAGTTTGTGGTTTGCCGGATCAATGTTTTGCCTTCCATGGATTACTCCATTAGACGCCGCTGAAATAGTCCTTTTCTCGAGAATTCGACTCGAGACTCCAAACCGTAAACCCATTCGCAGTAAGGTTGCCATTATAACTCAAAATATGAAATTCTCTGTTGTTCTTTCGTCGATAACACTACAGTAAAAATGCGCGTCAAAACACTAGCTTTCAGACGTCCGAGTTCTATCGAGACTGATCGAGACTGAATTATAAACACAAAATACTGGGCCCCTTTTGATGGGTCGGCTAGAAACCCTCCCCTCCTTTGGTCACGACGCATGCGCAACAATGTCCCGCTCTCTTTTTCTTTGCTTTCCCTCGGTTACGAGTTACGAGCGTCTATACACGTTCCCTTCTTTTTACAGATAAAAAAAAAACCGTAAATGTATGCAGATAAAAGGCTACCAAGAAATTTGTGAATACTGATAATTAAATGATATAATTATAATTGGAGTAACAGGATGCAAGACTAAGTCTTGTGTAGAATATTTAAAATTTTATGTTCCTCTTCCTCTTGTTAATTTGATTATTATTGTAGAAATTTGTTTGCTGGAAAAGATTGCAATAGGAAATGTTATGTTATATTATAAGCATAGGAAGCTTGGCTTAAAACTGAAATGAGATTTAATAGTAAAATGACATAATCGTAAACGTCCTGTAAATGTTTATACAAATTATACCGTATTAACGTAGTAATCTAAATATCTGAAAATATCTCTCTCCAATAAAATTAATAAATTGATAAGTAGGTAGTTTATTCGATCAATTTATTATATATTATAGCTTTCTTATTTTTGTATCAACAATATTTATATGCAATGAAATCTATAGTTTCTATCAAATTCAGAAGAATTTTCGAGAAAGATTTCTAAACTCGTAAACAAATATTCATCGTGTAAAAAATTCTGTTGTATAATTAGAATATTACCGTCTGTTTATGTACATGCTACGCCTATGTCCACTTATCGCTTTTACTCAAACAGGAGACAATTCGGTGCCTAGTCGATGTATATGAGACCAAATAAAGTTCAGGGACCTGGTCAGAGATTACCACGAAATACGTAAAAGTCTGACGTAAATGTAATACAAAGAAAGTTCAATGAATCGCAAAAGTAGGTTACGTTAAATGCGACATTTGAACGTAAATATGCGTACGTGACTAGGGACATGATTTCAATGCAACATATTAAAAATGCATATAGAAGGAACGTTCTAGTTATCATGAACAACTTGAATATTTTTCTCACTATTAAAGATATGAAAACTCCTTAAACCAGTGTGTTTTTTAAGTAGAGAGGGATAAAGGTGGGGATCCAAGAGAAACAAGAGATTTGGAAACGGTGGGAATAAGGGAAAGCTATGAAGTTTGAGGAAAAAAGAATTAAAAAATGTCAAACTTGATCAATGAAATCAACATATTTCCCTCTTGTTCAGACTTGAAAATGCGTTTGCCCTTGAAATCATTCCAAGGTCAAAAAGTTATTGAGTAAGAAACTTGTTTCACAACTGGTTACAAGGCTATACGATACAAAAAAAAATGATACTGCATCAAAAGTGATGTTTCAGAGCTTTTTCTTAGCATTATATTGGTTTTCTTAATATTTACAACTTTTCTTTTCAATTCTTTCAATTATTGTTTCATATCATTAACAGCAGTAAATCACCTTACCTATCTCAGTATTAGTTTAATTGAAATATGCAAAATATGGATGACAGTAAATTTATAAATCAGAATATTATACTATATTAGATGTTTGATTTAGATTCATTAATATACCAATAACAAGATCAACACTTTGATGGCGTCGCATCGAAAATATTTAAGTAAACACATAAGTGTAATTGAATTGCAAATACACAAGTATTAAGTAAAATATAAGTGAAATTTATACTCAATGTTTTAATTTTATTTACAGTAAATGTATCATACAATTCGAATTCTTGTGTAAGTGCTAATGCTAATTGAAATGCACCTGAGACTTTATATGAATCATATGTAGAATAGTATTAAATTTTATACGTATCAAATAAATGTAGCATATCATGCAGAACATATACATGATAATTTTGTATAATTTATACAATTTTAACTTTTTTTATATTCAATTCTATCAACTTTTACTGCATCATCAACAAGTTGATATACATAAGTTACAACTGTTGAACTTTGAATATCCATTAGAACAAAAGATGGGATGACTGATCTATAAAGTACAAATATTTATTTTAGAATTGAATACATTCTAGTAAATATGAAAGAATATGCAATAAATATATTTTGAAATATATAAATGAAATATCATTAATATGAAAAATCAAAAATAAGCTTACGTATCAAGAGGATTATATGCGCCTGTTGCTGAGCCAGGATTAATATAAAATTTATTTTCATGTTCGTATGCCTCAAATTTGTGTGTATGACCTGATATTAAAATATCAACATCTAATTGTCTTTGAATTAAGGCTAGCGATTCTGGATCTCCCCAAGGTACAACTTGATGTCCATGTGATAATCCTATTCTAAATTGACCAACAGTAACAACTTTTTGTTCTGGATAATTTAAGTTCTACAAGAAAGATTAAAAATGTAGCACTTTTGAATAATTATCAGAATCTTTTAAGTAAATAAAATATACCTCATCAAAATCTCCTCTAACAACATGTACATCACTAGCCAATGTTTTCAAATAATCGTATGATTCTTTTGTACAGAGATTGCCTGTGCATAAAATATGCTGTATTCGACCAGGCACCAATAATTTCTTAAATTTACTTGGAAGGCTACTACATCTATGTGGAATGTGTAAATCTCCCAATACTAAAACAAGCTATAACGAGGAAATTAATTTAAAATAGGTTTCTTGGTAGATACAAATAAATGTCTTATGATTTTCTTCTTTTGGTTGTAGGAAACAAAAACAATGATCAAAAGAAGAAAATCATATTGATGAATTATCTGATACTACTGATGGCTAAAAGAACTTATGTATTTATATTTATTTTCAATAACGGTTTTAATTTTTCTTAAACTTATATACGATAATCCCTCAGGTATGTACTACGAATTTATTAATAATAGCGTATAATTACGAGTGCTTAGTTATTTCATTTTAAAGCAATGCTTTTTCTTGAGGTTAGATTGCAAAGATAAGATTGTAACTGTAATAATTTCATTTTAATCAGTAACATTCAATTTTATCTGCTCACCATGATTTATTCAATAATATTTTTGTAGTTGTTGTGTACTTTGGATCGTTGAAATTCAATTTATTGCATTTGTTAACAGTGAAATAAAAGCACTAGTGCATTAGTGAAATGTCAAACACAATACCACACAAGCACAGTGACACTGAGTGACACTTGATTATGATACAACCGAGGAACACGGCATGAAAAATTGCAAGGGTGAAGCACTTATCTATCGAAAGGTAGGATCCCCGAATGGCGCTACTGTTTACTTTATTCTAGTGATTCTCAACCTAGAGGATTTAGTAATTCACTAGTAGATCAGGGAGTCGATTTTATAACGACAAGAAATTTCTTGTCGAATAGTGAAATTAGAGAGAAAGACATTGAGAAATAGAGCGAGGGGGAAAAAAATAGACAACCATCTCGCGACGCGTTTTAGGTTGTTTCATATGAATTCCCAAAATAATTCTTAATACAGGGTGTCCCAAAAATGTTGTAACACCTTGAAAGGGGTGGTTCAGAAGGTGATTTGAAATAACTTTTTCCTTAGCAAAAATGTTGTCCGAGGCTTCTTTAAGGAGATATTAACAATAACCTAGATTGTAAGTATTGAATTTTCTATCATTATATGTCCATATGTGTGGGTGTATGTTATGTCACGCCATGCGAAAAATCGGACACTAAGACTTTAATTATTTATCTACAGTTTACAAAGTAAAGAACTCTGATTTGAAAAGAGGAATTTTCATGTTCCATGTTCCAGCATTTCGATACACTTTTGGGAGTGGACTCCCGTGCCTTGTATATGCTGGTACGCACTCACACAGCTCCACACCACTGTATACGTACACGGAACTTCAAGGGTTCCGCATTGTCCTATTTGTGTCTCGACAATGCAGATTCGAGACCTCTCAATAGTCGTTTCCGCTAGATAAGTGTTCAAACTAGAGCGCAAGCTCCTATAGGTAGTATACTTTTGCTTTTTTGTGTCATAATTAATAATATTCAGCAGTACTTCGCGATCAAAAGAAGCAATATAGTGGTGCGACAGTGCTGCCACGTTGTCTAAGCTAACATACGCTGCTGAATATTGTTAATTATGACAGAAAAAAGCAAAAGTAGAGTCCCTATGGGAGCTTGCGTTCTAGCTTGAACATTTATCTAGCGGAAACGACTATTGAGTGGTCTCAAATTTGCATTGTCGAGACAAAAATAGGACAATGCGCAAGCCCATACGACCAACTTTTTATATATTAAGATTATTTTTATACAATATTGTGCAATTTTTATGTTTTCTATCGTACTGAAAAAGAAGTCAGGATGTGAAAGGAGTTTTCTACAAGCTTTTATAAAAACTTACGTCATTATAGTTTGTAAATAACAATTTAATTATATTAAACAAACATTGCAAAAACAAAACATAACAAAACATAATACAAATGGAAGAAAAAGTAAAAAAAAAAAGTGGCTCCTACCGGGATCGAACCGCGTCCAGCGCAAAGCTAGAGTTTCGAAGCGACGACGAAAGTAGAAAGAAACAGTTCGATGAAGAAGGAAGAGAGACCGAGAGTCGACGTTGGCAAATGTAAGGATACGGGACGCTAAGCGCGATTTCGACTTCAGTGAAATGGCAACAGTGTAGAGAGACGCTGTTGTGAAAACGGCAACATCGCAATACGCAGCCCTTGCAGTCTCGTAGGTACACGGACATACCACCGAGCGTTGCATGTGTGAGTGTGTCTCGGACGGCTGCTCGCACCAACGATACATTGTCGTTGACGTCTCACTTGTTTATAAAGCCTACCTTACCTTACCAGCATCATATTTTGAACAGCAGAAATTGCATTCAGCTCCCCTACTGGCTAAATGTTTTACTTAAGTTACTTCTTCTAGTGGCCGCTCGATTTTTATGTCGCGTCGATCTTTTCGGCGACGGAGTCCACTCTCTTATGCATCACTGTAGAGACTGGAGACAACTGGAGACAACTTCATGTTATTGACTGTCAGTACTCTGAAGTTTTCGAATTACTTATTTTCAACAATCTCTTTTGCAGTTACATGTAAAAGAGATGACGTTGAAAATTAATTAACTAGAGATAAAAAATTCGAGCGAGTAATACAAATGTACGATTGAATGATATTTGCACTAGCATATAACATGTCATTCAAAATGGATTTAACAGTAAATCGTGTTTGTTTAATTCATGATGTCACGACGCACATTCGCGAAGTCATTGTTAAACATACGTGTGCAGTTTATTATAAACGATCCATTGAAATTATTGACGATTGGAACTTGTAAACTTATAGTAGCGCGGTGAGCCCGCGACATTCCAGATTATAATATATGATTTTAACATAGTGACACGTTTAATTCTTATGTATTTTAAACGTACGGAAACAAGGATAATTTTTTACAAACGTAACAACTCGACGTGAAATGCAAATGCAAATAGGTCTAATTCAAAATGAGAAAACCGACTCATCTTGGTCAAGGTAATTATTGTGTGTTAAGAAATGATGTGTAATTTTGGAGAGAATTCATTAATAATATTCACAGAATACATAAATAAGATACATACAACATATTTCAGGAAGGAAAGACGGAAATGGTTTTTATCTTTATTATGTGGCACTTGTCTGATATATGCTACAAGAACATCTGTTCCTTTATTGATGCCAATTATAAGTAAAGAGAAACAATGGTCCAAAACAGATTCTGGAGTAATATTATCCAGTTTTTTCTGGGGTTATACATTAACACAAGTTGCTAGCGGTTATATTAGTGATAGGATCGGAGGACAAAAGGTATTATGCATTTCAGCCCTTGGATGGTCTATGACAACATTTTTTATGCCAGAAATTATAGAATTCTTTTCAAAAAGTGATACATCTGTATTATTAGTATCCACAGTAAGAACAATCAATGGAGCGTTTCAAGGTAGTTCTGTAAGATTAATCAATTAAATACTTTAAATTACATATGTGTAAAAAATAGTTTTTATATGCATAAATATGATATATTACAGGGATGCATTTTCCTAGTATGATTAGTTTGATAAGTCAACGATTGCATGAAACAGAAAGAGCCTCGTTTTTTAGTTTATTGACATCAGGATCTGCTCTTGGTACATTACTCACAGGATCTCTAGGTTCCTACCTACTGGAAAATTATAACTGGACGATAGTTTTTCAAACTTTAGGTAACTAAATATAAAATGGTTATGGCAGAAGGACACTCTGTACATATGTTATATGTCAATGCTGCCCATGCATGAAGCAACTCCAAAAAAGTGTGGAATCTATTGTCTTAAAAAATAGCTCTTGGGCAAAACTATTCTGTCTAAACTTAATCTTTATTCAAACATTGTTTTTGCTAATGTATCATTTACACAATAATATCAACCTAGTTTTAAAAGATTTCTCTAGAAAATCTTAACATTAAAAAAACATTCATTCAGATGTTTGAAGTTTAAATAACATGACCTAAAAGGACAAACTTAAAAAATGAAAAGACTGCTTAGTTTATTATGTCATGCAATATTTACATGTGTTTGTTCATAACATTATTTTGAAATGTACTGTATGTGTATTAAAATATATAGGGATCATAGGTAAATTAACAAAATTTACTAAACTAAAAAAATTTGTAATCAATTTTAACATTATAAACAATTGTAATTCATTACAATAATATGTTTAACTACTAATATATATAATATATATATATATATAATTTGAAAGTAACATCAATTATATGTACACACTTTCATTATTAACAAATTTATTGATGTAGGTGGTTTGAGTTTGACATGGACTCTCTTATTAGGCTACCATACTCTGCCATTCAGGGAAAGAACAACTTCTGCTAAATTAACTACTAATTACACTTTACCTTGGTTGAAGCTCCTGAAAAAACCTCCATTCTGGTAATCATTATGCATGGTGTTACTTTGAATTCAGTTAATTCCATAAATCACAAAACATAACTATTGTTTACATAACTATTGCTGTAAAAAGATATATAAAGTATATACACTTCATTTGTAAACTATAAATTTCAGGTCATGTGTAATTGGCCATGCATGTCAAAATAATTGTTTTTTTGTATTGTTATCATGGATGCCAACATATTTTCATGATACATTTCCTGAAGTGAAGGTAATAGTATTCATTATTAATTACCTTCTCGTTTTTATTAACACATCCAAGAACAAAGAATCACCAAATGAGTCATATGACATTCCATTACGGGTTGATACAGAATTGCAAAAATGTTGAGTGTTTCTGAGAAGTGTCTTATCAGAATATGTTGTTCTTGGATGTGTTAAGGATTCTATTTAATTATATAAATTTCTGCGAGTACATATTTATTTTATTTAGAGCTGGGTCGTAAATATGGTACCATGGTTATCAATGTTACCTTGCACAATTTTGGGCAAGGCTCTTTCTGAGAAAATAATAAAAGCAGGGTACTCTGTCACAGTGACACGTAAAGTAATCGAAACAATATGCTTTCTTACTGAAATAATAAGTCTGCTGTTTCTAGGTATGTATAATAATGTAGAAAAATTAAGTAAAAAGATTAAACTCAAAATCATTTCAGCAAAAGTGGAAACATTTCAAGGTGCAATAATATGCCTTGCATTTATAATTGGTGGATCAGGTTTTCATAATAATGCAATTGCTGTAAATCCTTCAGATCTTGCACCAAAACATTCTGGCAGTGTATTCGGTTTAATGAATACTGTTGGTGCTATACCTGGTATGCAAAAAGTATCAATACACTATTAATATTTTCTAAAATACAAATAACAGTTACATCTTTTCAGGATTCCTTGGAGTGTATTTTGCAGGACATATTCTACATGTAACACACAGCTGGCCTGTTGTTTTTATATTTATTGCTATAATTGACACATTGGGATGTATAATATATTTACTTTTTGGTTCTGGCCAAGCAATTATATGAAATGTCAAATAAATTCGTTATACAGTGTATTTACTATTTGATTCTCTTTGAATAGTTGTATGAAATAATTTCGAATAAATTTTATATTTTTTCGGTTTCCGGTGAATAAATCCTCATTCTATTATAATTCATTGTATAGGTAATACATATAAATTTGAATAGTATACAACGTATAACTTAATTGCATCAACCCACCAAGAAGTTTCGGTAACAATTAAAAATTTGTTGTCTCTATATTTTATACAGTTAATAATTCACATTTTTTAAAATTTAAGTAATTTATCATTGTAATTTCGGCCTTAAAACTTTATAAACAATAAAAGTACTTTTTTTTTTTCTTATAGAAGAAATTTGTTTACATATACTTTTTCCAACATCAGGCCTTGGAGTCGCATCCGCTAAAGTGTAACGAATATATTAAAACCAGAATTATTAGAAAATATTGCTTCTTTGCTTCAATATCCTGGAAAAAAAATCATGCTAGCCTAATCGCCCTGTCCTCGTCTCTTCTGGAATTGTTGTATCTCCCTCTTTGTCACAGCATCATTGGAGAGACTAGGATCTACCTATTCTTGTCTGCGAGCTTACTATTTTTTCCGCATCTGTCGCTCAAGTCAATTCGGAGTTTGGATCTGGCTCCTGCTACAAGTATCATTCCATGTTATACATAATTTGTAATTAAATATATAAAATAATGTCAAATACGATAACTGGAAAAAATCTGTTACGACCTACTGGATTGCAATGCAAAAATCTTCAAGAGTATTTAAAATCACGTCCACCAGATATATTGAACAAACTGTATCATAATCCACCAATTTGTTTGGCTGTGTTTCGTGAATTGCCTGTCATAGCAAAGCACTATGTTATGCGATTATTGTTCGTCGAACAGCCAGTGCCTCAAGCAGTCATTGCCTCTTGGTGTTCCAAACTTCATTTCGAAGAACATCTAAAAGTAGTCTCGATATTAAACGAATTAAATGTATGGAAAGAAGCATCGATACCAGGAGGATTACCTGGTTGGATTCTGAATACTACATTTAAGAAAAATTTGAAAATTGTTTTATTAGGAGGTGGAAAACCATGGACAATGTCGAATCAAATGGAAAACGATAATAAACCTAGAGATGTGGCATTTTTAGATTCGTATGCATTAGAAAGATGGGAATGCGTTTTACATTACATGGTCGGTTCGCAGCAGCAAGAAGGTATTCTTCTTCCATATAATATAATCGACAAATATTTATCATTGAATTGTGTATAATTGAAATATTATTTTTTACCATCTAAATGAACGATTTATTTAGGTATATCAGCCGATGCTGTTAGAATCCTTCTGCATGCCGGATTGATGAAACGGGATGAAGCTGATGGAAGTCCAGTTATTACACAAGCTGGTTTTCAATTTTTACTATTAGAAACTGCATCGCAGGTACTTGAATATAAATTTCCAATGGTTTTGATGTTGCTAATTTTAATTATTTAACATATATTGGTAAATTTGTATTATTTTTCTTCTCGAATTAAAATAGTAATTCCATAATTTTTATGTGTATGCATCTTTTACGTGATTATTGTTAATCATGTTGAGTGTAATTATTGTTAAATAAATCTGTTGCAGGTGTGGTATTTTATTTTACAATACTTAGACACGATAGAAGCAAGAGGACTTGATTTAGTTGAGTGTCTTACTTTTCTCTTCCAACTCAATTTTTCAACACTTGGTAAAGATTACAGTACAGAAGGAATGTCTGAAGGTCTATTAACATTCTTACAACATTTACGAGAATTTGGGCTCGTTTATCAACGAAAACGTAAAGCTGGACGGTAAAGTACTATATGTTTTTTAGGTAGAATTTATTGAATAATTTTATGCCGATGTTGTTGATACATACTATACTTCATTCCAGATTTTATCCTACACGATTAGCATTAAATATTGCCACTGGACAAAACAAGCCATTATCTAGAGATCCAGAAAAAGAGGGTTATATCGTTATTGAAACAAATTACAGAGTATATGCTTATACAAATTCAAATTTACAAGTTGCCTTACTTGGTTTATTTTGTGAAATGTTGTATAGGTATTGAAACAAATTTGAATATTTTACAAATAATTTATATTAGATTGTAATTGTATTAAAATATCTGTTAATATCTTTTGTCTAGGTTTCCAAATTTAGTTGTATCGATATTAACAAGAGATTCCGTACGTCAAGCTTTAAAGAGTGGAATTACTGCTGCACAAATTGTAGGGTATGTTTGGCAAAATAATTCTTGTTTGTATCGTATTCCATGGTATAACAAAAAATAGTTAATTTGTCTATATCAACAGTTATTTGCAGCAACATGCTCACAGTAAAATGATAGAAGTAGGTCCTCCAGTTTTACCTCCTACTATTGTAGATCAAATTAAATTATGGGAAAATGAAAGAAACCGATTTATATTTAGCGAAGGAGTTTTATATAGTCAATTTCTTTCTCAAACTGATTTTGAAGTGCTTAGAGATCATGCCCTTTCTACTGGAGTATTAATTTGGCAAAGCGAAAGGTATGTTTTTTAAAATGAATATTTTCACTTTATTTTTTTAATGAAATAAGATATTAAAGATTGTATATGTTTAATGCTTTATTTATTTAGGAAACGAACTATGGTTGTTACAAAAGCAGGCCATGATGATGTAAAAAAGTTTTGGAAACGATATTCTAAAGGCTCTGGTTAGAGGAATGAGAATGCTTTAAAAAGTACCAAAACATGATCACAATAAACAAATATTTTCTAGTAAAATTTCATCTTTAAAATTACATATTTTTTCAACTCTAAAGTCTGTAATATAAATAATTCATGAAATATAATGTTATACACCGATAAGTAAATACATAATGCTATACAGAGACAAGAAGTTGACCATTTGGTCTGACTAATTATGGTATCAGACCTATTAGTAAAATTCTTATTTTTGTATAGTAGTCTATGACTTATTTAATTAAAACGTCGTAAATTAAAGATAAAAACTTTTTATTTATGTTAAATCTAGTGCATGTAGATTTGTGTGACTGACTGTGATTAATATTATGTAGTTGCTGATACTATAATCCACTCCAACACTGACGTAGTCAAAGAATGTACTTTTATCGAAAATGAAACGTATTAAAGGAAAATTATTTTTTTATTTGTATTATATAATTATAAATGTTTTCAATTTATACACAACTTCCGTTTAATTGCACAAAATATACAATGTATTTAAAAATGTTTAAAATATTTACTTAAAAATTATATGAGAATTATAAAATTAATTCTTTCATTGTAAATTGTATCGAATCATCGCCAATATAAACGTATTTCATAGAATAAAAATGTTGACTTTTGTCATAGGATATTGTAATATCAATCCCAAATATTTGAGGATAACAGAGCTTGATGTCAGCGCTGTGGTGCTGCTTTTGGTTTTGGCATTTTAGACAATAAATTTTGAATTTCCTTTTTTTCGTCATATGTTTTCCATAGTTCGTATAAATTAATGATATAACGTGCAATTTCTTGTATTTTTTCCATATCAGCATTTAATTCAGCAAACCAAGACTTCAGATCTTTTTGCAATATAACGCAAGCTATTTGTAAACATCCTATAAATATTTCCATTATCATGATCTTTGTACATAATAAATATTAAATTATATTTTATTTTAATGTTAATATTAATATTGTCTTACCGATAGCTATTTGATATGGTGGATATAATAGACAAACATCTGTACGTAAGCTATCGTTAATTATGCGCCAAGCAAGTGTCAATAACTGATCATCTGGGCCCACATCTTGAATAAGGGTCAATAAAGGACGATATGGTTGATACACTATTAAACAACAATCTAAATGTTCTAGGAGATAAAATTCACATTCCAAAATGTGATTCGTGCGATAAGGAAATTCCTGAGAGTAGGCATAATTGAATTTATTTTTTACTGAAATGATATGATTATAATAAATTAATATATTTGTTTTCTTTTACTCTTACTTCATTATACATAGTAATTAATTACATACCTACAGTTTGACAAGTTGTGATTAACCTGGTATTAGAAATAACTCCAAATTCTTCTACCTTGGAAGCTAAAAAAACTGATGTGGGTGCCAACAACAAAGGGTCTATACATTTCAAACTATTGCGAGCATAAAATCTTTTAAAATAAACAGTTGCTGTAGCTATAACTTGTTGTCTGAGCTTCAATTGTTCACCTAACACTTGTATTACTATAAAAAGATATAAAATATTATTATACAAATTATTTAAATATGCACATAAATAATAGATACAGTTACACTCTAATCACAGTTAAAGGGAGAGTACACTGTACTTAACAATAATAGCATTAAGTAACATTTAAAACATATCTGATTATTTGATAAATAAAACTTACAATTTGAGAAAAATATGAACAGTTTTTGATATTCTTCCTCTGTTAAAATCGAAAGATCATGTTGTCGTTCCCGTACCAGGTCTTGTTTATCTAGAAGCCATTGTTGACTAAAAATACAAAGTATTTGATTGTTTTGCAAAGTAAAAGTGTGAAGTTAAATTTTATATAAATATCTTACTGATGTGAACTTTGCCAAAAATTGCCAGCCATATTACTGACAAATTGACTGCTTCAACAATGAGTAAATTTCGTACAGCTTAAACACTTTTTGATTATTTTCAAATCTTGATATATTCTGCTTTGTATTCATCCATTAACATTTTTTTATTTCAATTCATTGCATGGTTGTTACATTTTTATGCAAATTTTACAAACATCAAAGCCTTTTCTCACTCACCGTCATCATTTAAATTTATATTTTCTTAGGAACATCAATGTAATGTTTTTGTATACAAAAATATTTTTCCGATTCCGGCGACTATTGGGTTCGCTGGGGGTCCAGGCTGCAAGCTCACATATTAAAAATTGATACGAAATTTGTAGCGCCGCGTGGGAAAAACTCACCCAACTAAAATGTGGAGCGGACTTTTCAAATTGCTTTCCCGTTTGAGGTTTCCTCTGAATAAATTTGAAATTTGACGTCGCGACGTCTAATGGCAGTACCTATAACTAAATTCTTTTTTCTTGTTATTTACCAAAATGTACGTATTACCTCAATCACGCAAAATGATAGATGAAAAGCACAAAGGTATAGTTGTTAGATCTTGCATTTCTGTCGCATTGTTGCTACGTCTATGTATTAGCCATTACGAAACCTGAAAGTACTTTCAGCTCGAGCTCAGCTCTGAACTGCTTTGAACTCAAGTATTTTTAGGTTACTAAAAGAATTTTGTGACTCAAACGATGAAAATAACCCACTGCTTTGAACCTTCCTCTTTCGAATGAACCCTCATTCAACCCAAAATGTGCTTATATAAGGACAACAAACATCGGCCCATAATTACATTCTTAAAATCGAATTCCGCCATTTTATGGATAATGGCAGAGCACGCAGGATAACAAATTTAGTTCAGGCAATTCGTATGAGATGGCGCTTACTGAGGGCTGCTAACCGGAAGTCGGTACATATGCGACGTTACCATTATGGCATAATAGTGTCTAACCTTTCCCTACGCACTGTTACCATTCGACGATTTGACCGAAGTCGAAATATTCTTACATTTACCGACGTTGACGGAGCATAGGAAGAGATTGATATACTAGGTTGTCCCAAAAGTTTCTTCCGTGACTTGCATTCAACTATTTTGTATGGCACTGTTCATACACATAGACAACCTAATTTTTTAGATGCTAATATTGTAACAATAATAGAGCAAAAGGAATCGTACGCAATTCAATAATGTAACATTAGACATAAAATATTGCGTATGTATTACTTATTACTGAAATGGAAGAAACTTTTAGGACAACCTAGTACAAATTTATTTTCATCATCGCCTCACTTTTGGAATTATCTTTTCAGGTCCTTAATGAAAAGTTATGTTTGCATAGATTTTTGTCCTACTGATATTTTCTCTCTTTGAAAATCGATTTACTGAAATCAGGTATGATAAGCATACACGGTATCCTAAAAATGTTGTAACACATTGAAAGAGGTGGTTCGGGAGGTGATTTGAAACAACTTTTTCCTTATCGAAAATGTTGTCCGAGACTTCGTTGGGAAGATGTTAACGGAAAACATTGACCAATCACAGCGCGAGTATGCCGGTGGAGCGCTCGCGGTAGCGTATGACGCGTAGTCTTCGCTACCGTGATCGCTCCAACGGTATACGCGCGCTCTGATTGGTCGGGGTTTTCTCTTAATATCTCCATAACGAAGCCTCGACAATATTTTCGCTAAGGAAAAAGTTGTTTCAAATCACCTCCCGAACCACCCCTTTCAAGGTGTTACAACATTTTTGGGACACTCTGTATTTTTATATGTCTATAAGTTTTTAGTGAAAGACAGGAACCCTCAAACCAGGGCCGAAATGACCTTTTGCGAGGCCGAGTTCAAACATTTTGCGGGGCTTGAATTTCATTAAAATCCTACATTTAAATTTTTCAACGAGGAATTATTTATTTACGAATGCTGTTACCAGTTATGGACATTCGTGGGATTTTTCCTTCGAGGAATTCCTTTCTGCGCATGCGTACGCTGACGTCACAGCTACATATCGTCTGCTACCATACATGTATCCGAATCGCCAGAGGAGGTGTATTTAAGGGGCCTGTGCAATTTTCCCGCGTTTTGAACGGACAAATTAAGTACAAGAGTGTTAGTGTTCGTGAGTGTAATATTAGGTGTAAGAGGAGTGTAGAGTGTAAAATTAAAAAAAAAAATGGATAATGAACCGCAGCCGTTCATGTCAGGAATCATCGAGGAAAAGAAGAGGACATTTATATTTTGTTCCTTACTGGGATCCAATGGTACCCTAAATTTTAAGTAAGTGTATACAGCAGTGAGGACTGCAACGCTCGCTCCAATGCGCATGATCAGGAAAAATTCCACGAATGTTCATCACTGACTGTTACACATTATACATTGTTTATAAGATGAATATTAAATAATATTACTTTGATGATTTTTGTCACTCTTTTAAACTGAATCACCGCTAATAAAAAAATGTCTTGCATCTGTTAATGATTTCATCATTCCGTAAAAAGTTAATCAAAATTTTCGTAGATCGGGGGGCCTCTCAAAACGCGGGGTCGGGTTCTAGCGAACGCGCTGAACCTGCCTTGCGCCGGCCCTGCCTGAAACGTAAAAAATTTCAACGAGAGTTTTGCCTCTGTGTAAACTACGTACTCTGTGATATCGACTCGACCGGGAAAAACATGGCGACTACTCTCGAACGCCATTTCGATGTATCGTCGAACGATAATCTCGCTTCGAATCGATGATCGTTTTCACGATGGACGGCGAACGAACGTGCCGTGGACTTGATGTTAGTGCGAAACGATGATTTTTCGTGCTGACAATACTTCTTACCTGAAAATTCTCGCGCATTAATACGCAGAATCGTGAATTTTTGGACATTTCGCGTGGCCAATAGGCGACAACAATTGCGCGAAGTCGACGAATCGTCGATGGTGCTAGTGCGAAGTCTGTGCTGTGTACGACCGTATTCTTCTCGTGTGGTTTCGTGCCGCTGTCAACGAGAGCTTGAATATCTGTACCATAGGATAATTATACAAGAGAATTGCCACGGGATCGTGTAACAAACTCGCTGTGAATCCACGACTCGAGAAAGAATAGACTTCGTTCTCTGTCCGAACAAAGCAGAATCGCGTAAGGTACGCCCCTTTCGCAGGTGCCAATAACATTTTCGCGACATCCATCGAGAAGAATCGACCACCGAATACACAGGCTCTCGAAGAAGCTGATTCGGAACGCGTCCCAGAATCTACCCAGGAGACCCACTTTTCCGACTCTGAATTTATTACCTTACTTGGTTTTGTC